ATTAAAGGCATGTGCCACCATATCAGGCTCATTTTGTAGACTTTAAACTTTATTGAGCCTGATGATGATACAAGTTTATAATTAAGTATTTATAGTCACAATTAGATGTTTATTATACAGATTATCCTTTTATATTGTATATTTTTCATGTTTGGTCAGATCTAGTTAATTAACATAGGATAATGAACACACTTGCACACTATGGGAAATGATAGGATGGTATCACAACCTATCGGTATTGCTAAAGAAACATAAGGATTGTGACCCAGTAATAGAATACTTACGTACTGTTCTCAGCACCCAGCACCGCAGGACAGGAAACATATCCTGAAGAATGTATTTTACTTCACGATATACACACTGAAAACAACCATGAGTATATTTTAATCTTAAATATTTATGCTTTAATCAAAATATTGTAGGAATGTTATTAATTGATACTGCTTTTTACTCAGGAGAATACAAAGTTATACCTCAACTTACTTGAAATGGAATACAGTTGTGACCTCAAGCAAAATGAAGAAAATATCCTCAATTGCTTTGACAGAGCCATACATGGTTCATTGCCTATTAAAATGAGAATTACATTTTCTCAAAGAAAAGTGGAGTTCCTTGAAGATTTTGGTTCAGATGTTAATAAGTAAGATTTAAATCCATCTTTTTTAAGGGAACATTAGCATTGTTATTTTATGAAGAGAATTTGATGGTTACTATACATTAATACGTTGCTAACTTTATTTTTAAAAGTTTCTGATGTGTATGTATGGGAGAGTGTGCATGTGTTCCAAAATGTATTTAAGGTCAGAAGACAACTCCCCTGGGGTTTTTTTCTCCTACCATTTGCATAGGTGCTAGGGAACAGATTGAGTTAACCAGGCTTGCTCATGTTTTATGAGCTAAAATGCCTTATTGTACCCAATGTTAAATGTAAAAATGTTTGGGGAATTTTTCCTTCAGAAACACTGGAGGTAATTCAGTTTTGTAAATGTGTGTATAGGATGTAAACTTTATCATCCCTTCAAAACTATTTTCCTGTTTTAAATCAATTTTGTGTGTAAATATGCCATGGTGCACATGTAGAGGTCAAAAGACAACTAGGAGCAGTTCATTCTCTCCTTCCTCCATGTGGGCCCCACAAAAAGAGAAGGGAGATAAAGATTGAACTATGAGACACACATGAAGGAAGGAAGGAAGGAAGGAAGGAAGGAAGGAAGGAAGGAAGGAA